GCAGCTGGAGGGGTATCCGCAGTGTGAAAGAAATGCTGGATAATTTGGCGGTTAATTCTGCTGTGGCGACCCCTGATTAATCAAGGGACTAAGCTGAAGGAATATTATGAATAAAACTATATTTAAGATTAATGAGAGGATTGAGAGTAATTATCATATCATATTGTCCCTGAAACACCTTGTTACTCTATTCCTGCAGATCCCAACACACAGATTCTGTATGCATGTGACTCGTGTGGAGAGAAGTTTCTGGATGCCAGTTCTCTGGCTCAGCACGTGCGCATTCACACCGCTCAGGCCCTGGTCATGTTTCAGGCAGACTCAGACTTCTACCAGCAGTACACCGGAGACGCCACATGGCAAACCACCGAGCAGGTCATCCAGGGAGGAGAGCTTCTGTTCAGGACACGCGACGAGGAGAGCGAGGAAGCCCAACCAGAGTCTCAGATGGACGGGGCAGAGGTGGAGAGCGAGGATGGGGCTGAAAAAGTGCACTCTGAAAGCCAACAGCAGTGAGGAGATTCAGGTCTGAATCCATAATAGATCCACATGGAATTGAATCTGTCACAAAGTGTAATATTTGTCATCAGAGGGATGGTTATTATCATTTATCATGCTGTAATAAAACGCATTCATATTTAGAAAATATGAGCAAGATGAAATATAATATCCCAAATCAAAAGAAATGTGTGTACAGCATATTGAAATTCTATTGTATAGTGCTAATTATATAAAACAGGATCAGATAAATGTACTTAAATGAACAAAATGTAATTTATGCTGATCGTCAAAACTTTTAACATACTGTCGTCACCCTATATATGTCTTCTGTGCATCACACTATTGTAAACTGTGTTAGGTAAGATGAGTTCCACATAACCGTGTCCTACAAGTTTCAGTTTTAACCCAGCTATCAGGCTTTATTTATTAGTAATGATTCTGTTGGTATAGAGTTTAGTCACTTTCCGCTTTGGTCATTATTGTTTTCTGAAGATGTAGAAGCTGAAACAATTCTCTAAATAAACACTGCATTTATTTTACATGAACATATTGCAAGAGGCTCATTTATCTTATTTAATGCACTCTTTAAAAAATGGACTTTAAAATATATATGATTTTTAGATTGATGTGTGTTGCAGTCAACCTTTCAAAGCTTTCATTATCTACACTGCCATCCAACTATTTACATTTTGCCTTCACTCTTTGCATTTTAGTATATCACACCCCTCCCCCTCCATGCTGAATGATAGCATTTAAAAAAAACGTGTATTACAAATACTTTTGTGCTCAATTGAGTCTTATGATTTGTTATTCCAGAAAAATATATGTACATAAACTATTCAGGACAAAATTAAAGTGATAATTTTATTCTCTTGAACCCACAGTTTGAAAATGGACTGTCTTTTATTTGTTATTTTTTAAATGTGAAATAGGGCATATTCCTGCTTTAAGCACAATATAGGTAACTTTGGATGGAAACACAGCAATTGTCAGATACTTTAGATACTCTGTTGAAGTTTATTGAGCAAACCATTTGATTCTGTATACAATACTTGCTTAATTAAAATAGTGTATTACATATACTACATAACAAGCCAAATCAGTTTAAAGTTAGCAATTTAATGATTTGTTTAAGGGGTATTCCATCTAATTTACTCACCCTCTGGTCATCTAGAAGTTTAAAATTTAATGAAAATTTATTTTCATTCACCATTAGAATATGTTAGCACATCGAGAAAAAAAACATATATACAAGACATATATGAACATATGTATGTATGTGTGTGTGTGTGTGTGTGTGTGTGTGTGTGTGTGTGTGTGTGTGTGTGTGTGTGTGTGTGTGTGTGTGGTGTGTATATATAGCAGAAGTCAGAATTAGTCCTCCTGAATTATTAGTCCCCCTGTTTATTTTTTTTAATAATTCCGTTATTGTATAACGATGGTTTGTTCTGTAGACTATCGAAAAAAATATATAGCTTAAAGGGGCTAATAATTTTGACCTTAAAATGGCTTTTAATTTAATTTATAATTTCTTTGCTCTGTTAAACATAATTTTGAAAGTATTTTAAAAAATAAAAAAAAAATCTAAGGGGGGCTAACAAATATGACTTCAACTGTAGTAAAACAATTGGGCTATGTGCAAAATGTATATATTTTTTGACTCAAAGTGCCAAAGTCATTGATTGCATATTATGATTCACCAAGGACCACAATATCAGATAGAAATACTCTTTTAACATGAAAATAAATATCTACACAAGTCAAAAAAAAAAAAAAGAAATGTTATTAACCCTAATCTTATGTTATCTATACAGTTTGTTTTTAAAATAAAATAGAAATGGAAGAAGAGCAAATAAAAGATGAATATTAGGATAAATGAACGTAAAAACTAGTGATTATTAATCTTTCTTTGCCTTGCATATATATGGTTTGCGCTATTTGGCCATTTTTTTTTTTTTTTTTATCCAAGAGAAAAATTTCTCATGTCTAGACCCTTTTCTGTATTTGACAATTTCCACCATTATTGCCCAGATGTATTAATCACACTTTGGTACTACATGTAATGAGCTGTTATCAGTGGTGTAAAGTAACAAATTACAAATACTCAAATGACTGTAATTGAGTAGTTTTTCTCAGAAATTGTAATTTACTAAGTAGTTTTAAAAAGGTGTACTTTTACTTTTCCTTGAGTACATTTTTAGTGCAGTTCCTGTACTTTTACTCCACTTCTTTCCTTCAACCTGCAGTCACAATTTTATTTTTTCTTGTCTATGGGAATTAGAAAAATCAGTCCTGTAATTCCTGTCCAATCAAATCACACATAGAAGGTAAATTGCATCATAATGAACTACCTCAAGACATGTGCACTTTACATTGCAGCAAACTGTTTGGAAGCATTAAAACTGTCCAAGAAACTGTCCACGCATTGACCCAGTGACTGTTTAAATCAGGGATGCCCAAACACAGTCCTTGTGGGTCAATGTCCTGCAGATTTTAGCTCCAACTTGCCTCAACACACCTGCACGGATGTTTCTAGAAAGCCTAGTATGAGATTGATTAGCTAGCCCAGGTGTGTCTAATTGGGATTGGAACTAAACTTTGCAGGACACCGGCCCTCCAGGACCGAGTATGGGCACCCCTGGTTTAGATGCATGTCACTGATGAGAAGATGATGGTTATTTACTGTATGATGACCAAAATGGCCTTAAACACCCAGCAGGCACAAGATGTCAACATGCCCTCAGATTGAAATTGTACCCTAATGTTGTGGAGACGCTGCATTTTGTTTGGAAATGAAAATCGGGTTTGCATCAGAACTCAACGTCAGCCCGATGTCAATGTCCAACATCCAACCTGAAACCACCCAAATATCAACGTCTAATGATGTTACAGCTTGACGTTGTGTCGACTTTGCCTGTATGACATCTATCAGATGTTGAATTTTGGTTGCCATAACTGATGAATAAATGTCAGTATTTGACGCCAATAGAATGTTGGTTTAAAGGGCAGATAGTTTAACTTTTTTTCAAGATTTAATATTAATATTATGGTTCTTCTGAGTGTGCCAGTTTTGGTTCAGTTCAAAACACAGTTCAGATTTTTTTCATATAATGTGTTCAAAAGTGTTATTTTGGGGGTGTGTACACAGCTCGCTGTATTAGGGGTAAAGTGTCCCAAATCGTGGCTGGGCGCCATGTGGTGAATGTTGATCTTGTGTTGAGCCCAATGAGCCTTGCATCTAAAAGTTGAGCAAGGGTGTTCCTTTTGTGACATCGCTTTGACTCTCACACATGTCTGTCCAAAGCTAGAAGAGTTTTTTTCACCACAGGTGCTGGCTCAACATTGGATTTTGGTCACTTTCTAAAAACCTAAAATAAACCAAATATCAACGTCATTTGATGTCTTTATTGGACATCAAAATAAAGTTGTTCTTAGACACTGGCTAGACATTGAATTTTGGTCACCTGACATCAAAACCTAAATCTAACCTAATATTAACATCTTATGACATTGTGTGCCTGCTGGGCAATAACTAAATGCACTACAGAATGTTACGTTTACTCACACACATCCACAAATGACATGTAAATGCATCAACTTTTAACAGCATAATACTCACAACTCACTACTCTTGAGCACTTTTAATAGGGCTACTTATTACTCCTACTTTGAGTAATATTTACAACAGGTACTTTTACTCTACTCACACTACATTTTTAGGCAAGTAATGGTACTTTTTTTTATTTAAGTATGCTTTTTAGTACTCTTTCCACCACTGGCTGTTAAATGGAAACTGCAAGCAAAATGAGATGCAGTAAAATTATGAGTAGTTGTAAAATCCAACATTTGGACACAGAGAACATCACAACAATAAAAAAATATAAACAGCCAAAATAAATATTTCGTTCAGAGCTTTGGATATGTTTAAAAAAAAAAAGCTCAATCAAAAACCTCTCTGTAACATTGCTCATGTCTTTAACTTGTTTGTCTGAATCTTTGCTTTTGTATTTATTTGTGTGAGTTTATTTTTTGGTTTTCATTCTTATTTTTTTGAAATTGTATTAGTTTTCTTTTTTGTTTACTTGGTATTTTGTATGTTATGTTATACTCAATAAAGAATAGATGATATAAAATAAACTAAATATTAATATTGCACTGACCTCTGCTGGTCTAAAAGAAGACAACACAAAAAAGGTATGAACCAATGACTGTAAAAAGATATGAACAATATTCTTAACATTAGCAAAAAAAAATCAGTTTAGTCGCTGAGATAATAAAATAGAAACAAATTAAATATCTTAGTAGTACACTATTACATATCATTTACAGTAGTAAGTTTACAGTATAGTTACATTTATCATTTCATTAATATACATTTGGTCTCATTATAATATTCAATGAGTCCATGAGGCAGCAAGCGATTGGCTGGAGCTCCGGGTCAGAGTGCACATCCGCGTTTACGCTGACGTTGTCCAAAGGAGGAAAATGGCGACGGACTGCTTGTCAGTGAGGGAGACCGCGACTCCTGCAACATTAACCTGTAAAAGACGACGTACCACAATGGCTACAGCATTGTCTGGGGGCTTCAGCAAAAACGCCCTTTTTATTTTATCCGCGGCGTTAATGTTGCAGGCAGTTTTAGGAGACGGAAAGACTCTCGTTCTGCTAGACAATCCCAACATCAGAGACACTCATTCAATCTTCTTCCGCAGTTTAGCAGGTGAGCTACACGTTGTATGGTTTTTTTTTTTTAAATTCTTTAAATTGTGATGCTGGCATATGAAAATAAATATAGTATTATCATATATATGCGATATTATGAGTAATGCACGTTGAGTGTATGTAAATCTGAAAATGAAGTCATTACACTTTTTCAAGGTTGGTTGGTTGGTTTAAAGTATTTTAACCGATAGTTACTTTAATTTTATTTTTTCAGATCGTGGATTTGACCTTACTTTTAAGACTGCTGATGATCCTGGTCTCTCCCTGCTCAAGTATGGTCAATTCCTCTACGACCATCTCATCCTTTTCTCTCCATCAGTGGAAGGTAATTTGTGTTCTTATAACTTAATGCTGCAATTATCAGAAATTAGTATTAATTTGTTGTGTTCACATATTTCCACAGATTTTGGGGGTAACATCAATGTTGAGACCATTACAGCCTTCATTGATGGTGGAGGAAATGTTCTTGTTGCTGCCAGTTCTGATATTGGTGAGTGTTGTTGTGTTGGCTTTGTGTAAATGCACATATAATATCTTGCTGGCTACATCAAAGTGATCTTCTATCGTTATGAATCTGGAAGGTGATCCTCTGAGGGAGCTTGGAAGTGAATGTGGCATTGAATTTGATGAGGAGAAAACTGCTGTTATTGATCACCACAACTATGATATTTCTGATCCTGGTGAGGTAAGTAATGGAAAGAGCAAAATAATTATAGTAGAGTGTATAGTAATTTGTGTTGTTTGAAAGGTCTTGAAGTAATTGAACTGAAGTTTTTAAATTCATGCTTCTGATATTATAATAAACATTTATACATGTTTGTTTCCCTGATATTGATTGATGTTCGCCTCAATTGTAACCCAAAACAACAACTAGTCAAGTAGTTATTTTAATAGGGTTATATTTAAATTTAACATACAATAGAATAATAATTGACAATAGCAGCAGTAAAGATGTTTGACAACTGAGGTGCTTACAAAGCTGAACCTAACCTTGGAAATTAAAATAAGCTGCTATGTCATATTACTATTTTTGACCGTAACTTGTTTTTATGGTATTATATAAATATGTCTTCATAATATGCAATTTAAACAAAAATCTAAAAAAAAAAAATTATTTGAATGGACTTGCAGAGTCTTTTCATTACTAGAAATTAGGCTGATTTTACACTGCATGTTTCAAGTCACTCAATTCCGATTTTAAAACAAATATATATTTTCTCCCATGTGGCACATATCGGATATGGCCCATGTACATGTAAGCAGGAAAAAAATAACATGGATTCCGATTTACTTAGATTCAGGCCTTGTTCATATGTGAAAACTTTTCCTATATGTATCGGATCCGTGCCCTTGTGTATGCAGTGTAAGCAAGTAGATCGGATTTTCACCTGTCAATGCGAGTTGCACATGATTAAAAAACATAATGAATGACGTCAACGCTTTCATTTCAGAACGGACTTCAGCAGAGTCCCGAACCTTAAACCTCATACACGAGGACTAAAAAAAAGTAACCAATTTAAATTAATATAAAACAATTGCATACATCACATGCATAAATCACGCCATGGACATGACATTAAGATGCCTACTGGTTTAAAAAAGCCTAGATTAAAAGAAGATGACTAAATGAGAACCTTTCCGTTATAATCTATAGTAAAACATGTAAAAATAAATAAATAAATAAAACCCTGCAAACAGATTAAATCTAGGAACAGAGAAAAGGGCGCTCTTTCATTATTAGCTGTCAGTCAGCGCCCCGCTCTTTTTTTATTTATTAATTTTTTTCCTCTCATCGTTGCGCCTTTGCCGTGTGCTGTGTAAATGCAGCCAATCAGATGCGAGTCAGTTTTAAAAGATTATGTAAGCAGGTCAGCAAAAAAATCAGATACAGTCACAAAATCAGAATTGGCCATTAGGATCTGCATTGTAAATGCATTAGTCCCCTTTTCAGACAGGTTTCTCAATCTCTTTCAGCCCAAAAATGGCCACAAACTTGTTATCAGGGTTAAAGTGATCGTTTACCCCCCCAATTTTTTTTTCACCATTAACATGCACTTAAATTGCTTAACTTTTATGAATTTCTTTGTTCTGTTGAACACAAAACATGACATTCTGAAAAATGTTAGAATAAAGCAGCCACTGACATCCAAAAAAATGCAATGGAAGTCAATGGCTTTTTTTTCCCAGCATTCCTCAGTTTATCATGTTTTATATTCAACAGAAAAAAACAAAACTGAAACTGGTTTGGAACAAGTCAAGGAAGAGTAAATGATGGCAGGAGTGTCATTTTCCACAAAATACCCTTTTAAAATAGTACTTTTAACTGTCTTGACATTCACACTAAATACTTTTTAAGCTTTGTCATGTGTCATTAAAGATTACTTTTTTTTTTTTTTAGCACACACTAATTGTTGCTGATCCAGAGAATCTTCTCAAAGCCCCAACTATAGTTGGCAAGCCCACCGATAAACCAGTCCTGTTTAAAGGTGTTGGGTAAGTGGTCTCTTGATAGCCTGGCATGTGTAGTTTTTGTAAAAAATAATCTTTACAAGTTGCCTCTCTTCCTCAGTATGGTGGCCGACCCAGATAACCCTCTGGTGCTGGACATTCTGACAGGCTCTTCCACCTCATACTCCTACTTCCCTGATCGTCCCATCACACAGGTCAAGATCTGAGATTTAATGTTCTTCTTTTTTCTTACGTTTATTTCAACTCGTGCTAATTGTCTGTTTGCTCTCCAGTATCCTCATGCAGTTGGAAAGAACACCCTTCTAATCGCTGGTCTGCAGGCAAGAAACAATGCACGTGTGGTTTTCAGTGGATCACTGCACTTTTTCAGCGATGCTTTCTTCAACTCTGCCGTGCAGAAGGCTGCTACTGGCTCAAAGAGGTCTGTTGTGTTGCATTAATAAGACATGTTCAGAGCTATAAACATTCATTTATATATATATACCGGAAGCTGTGCCTGTTTTTCATATTGTGATGCAGTTCCTAAAGAAACAATATTAAATTACACAACAGTGGGCGTGGCTTGTTTTTCTACTGCAAACTGAATGGATGTAGTAAAGTAGGCATTTCATTTAGAAGGATGGGAAAAAGGGTTTCCTCACTATTTCTGTTTGTTTTTAAAACTGACAGTTGGAGGGGCGTGGTTATATGTTAGCAACACACCCAATTAATAAAGATTTACATAATTGACTTTTTTTGCTGAAAAAAAAAAACAGGAGTGCATTTTCAGATTTCAACTAAAGATTAAAAGTACAAACAATTTTTTTTATTAATAATATGCACAATATGAACTGTTCACCACAAAACAAAATGAAATGGTTAGTTTTGATTTTATGGGGTCCTTAAAGGGGATAGTTCACCCAAACATGAATATTCTGTTGTTGTTTTTTTACTCCCCTTTTACTTATTTCAAACCTATTTTTAGGTAGTTTGCATGACAATGATGGAGCCAAAACAGTTTAACATTTACACAACAGTATTTGCAAAATATACATCTGAAAAACAGCCAAACACACTGTATTACGTATGCCAGGCCAGTATTTGCCTCTGACATTATTGAAATGAAGTAGAAAACATTTTGTTCATTGTGTATTTATCATGTATGCCAGGTATCATGTATTTACCACTGACGTTATCTTTTTAGAGATAACTTTTGGGTGTTTACTTGGACATGACAGTAGTAGCGTTGTTAAAAACTTCACTTTAAAACTTGTTTTAAATGTTTGTTTTAATGCCCAAATCTTTTTGAAGAAGACAACAAACAAAAAGCATAAACATCCCATGTTTGGCAAAAATATAGAGTTTCTTATTTTTTAATCGAAAAACTATTTTGAAGAATGTTCAAAACCTGTAGCCATTGCCCATTTCAATGTACAAATGAAATCAAAACTAGCCATATGATTTTTGTTAGCTCACATTGCTAATTTTGTGCTGAACAATTCATCTGTGCAAAATCTGAAAGCACACTTGTTCAATTTTCAGTTTGCGGTTGAGCAATTCCAGCGTTATGGATGTGACATTTGCGGTAAAAACTCATGCATACAAACATACATTCACATCGAAAGTATGCGTTAACGTTATATTAAAACTTTTGTTTATATTTTCTAGAACAACTGACCAATCTGTAAACATGTTTTGTACTTTAAATGGATGTGACCAAAAAAGTCTCCAACTTCATGTACAACATACTTTGTAGAAGTTCTGTGAATTAAACTGCACAACCCAAAAGGATATAATGATAATCAAAAAGATGAGAGTCTGCTCACTATAGAACAAACATGATTGATTTTATTTTATTTAATATTTTTGCTTTTATGAAGAAAAAGTTTTGTTATAGATGTGACATCTCACCGTTATGGATGTGGCGGATGTGAAATTGTCACTTGTGCAACTTTGGTAAATCAAATGTAATAATTTAAAAACATTGACAGAAACATTTGAGTATTTCTAAAGTACTGTAAAATACTTGCTTACCCAAAAAAATTACAAGCGGTTTCCATATTTTGGTGATCACGTATTGTTATTTTTTTATGGCAAGGGTGACCTTTTCATGGAATTGCTCGTATGTCTTAGTAATTGGGCGTGGCTAAGATACTTAACGACGCCCCTCCAACTGTCAGTTCTGACAATAAACAGAAATGGAGAGGAAACCCATTACCCGGTCTTCTGAATGAAATGCCCACTTTTCTACAATAATTTAGCTTGTAGTAAAAAAAAAACAAGCCAGGCCCACTGTATTCCTATTTAATATTCCACTGCTCTAAGAGAAATGATTGTCACAATATGAAGAAAAAATGGTCACTGCTTCCGGTTCATGTGGACCTAAAAATCTGAACCATTTTTGCAATGCTGAGAAACTTTTTATTTGAGTTTTTATGATGCATATGTATGTTTGACCCAGATATGAACAGACTGGTAACCAGGATCTGGCTGAGGCCTTGTCCCGCTGGGTGTTTAAAGAGGCTGGTGTTCTCAGAGTCGGAGATGTAACCCATCATCCTGTTGGAGAGAGCACACCGCCTGCTGCCTACACCGTCACTGACCTTGTGGTGAGGCATAGCTAAATATTACAGTTTTTATATTGGCAAAATACAAGCAAGTAAATATTTTGCTGATTAATTTTGAGTAGTCTTGCTTGGACATTGGCTTAGTTTTAAACATTTCAACGGAACAGTATGCTCAAACGAACAGCATTATGACTCACTACAACTGACTGGATTGTCCCTACAGGAATATGGCATAGTGATTGAGATGTTGTCTGGTGGAAAGTGGGTGCCCTTTGATGGAGACGACATTCAGCTGGAATTTGTCAGAATTGATCCATTTGTTAGGACCTATCTCAAGAAGAACGGTATGTTATAATCAGTTTTTGATTGACATAACGTATGTTATCTTTGAAAAAGCAATGACAGAGATAGTAATCATAGCAAAGCATCATGTGACCTTAAGTGGTAACAAAAAATGTACTTTATCCCAAACTTTTGTACAGTAGTGAATGTAAGCATTGAATCTGCTAATACAATGTTTCACTTTTGTTGTAAAGGTGGAAAATACAGTGTACAGTTCAAGCTTCCTGATGTATATGGAGTTTTTCAGTTCAAAGTTGACTACAACAGACTCGGCTACACTCACCTGTACTCTTCAACCCAGGTGAGACTGATAAATTATTAGAATTAATGATATTGTGTTGTCCTGGCAACGTTTGCGTTGTCACTGTCAACAAAAAGTTGGCAGCCCCCCACCGCCCACATACAGTCATAATTAAAATTGCATTCATTAATGACTGATATTTAAAACTATGATTTAAAGAACGATTGCATGTATATAATAAGAATCATTTAATTATTTTTAATCAAGCATCATTTAGGAAACAGCGGAGCCCTAAATTATATATATCAATGTAATTTTACATTCTTATCAGCAACAAGTTTTTTAAAGACTTAATGCTGTACAGTTTTGTATGATCTCTTTTCAGAAAATGTAGACATTTCCATCCATATTTTCAGTATTTTTATAAATGTTTTTTAAATATTAAATACATTACTTCTGTATTATGTTTAGTACGCTTATACATTATCTATTTTAAATTTATATATATATATATATATATATATATATATATATATATTTTTTTTTAAAAATACATTTAATTAAATACCTGCTCTTGATGTTTACTAGTGTTTTTGTTTGTTCCCCAGGTTTCTGTCCGGCCGCTACAGCACACCCAGTACGAGCGCTTCATCCCCTCTGCTTTTCCATATTACGCCAGTGCCTTCTCTATGATGGCGGGACTCTTTGTCTTCAGTGTCGTCTTTCTCCATATGAGAGAAAAAGAAAAGTCTGATTAAAGGAGTATCAGTGAAGATGTAGAAAATGTAAAACTGAAAAAAAGTTGATGGGCTCCAGCCCTCTATCATAAGTAATAGAGATCTAAAATATGTGGGCTCAATTTGATGAATTGGATGGTGTGCTATTACAGCTAAATGCAACATTTGTAAATTGAGATTTTTGGGGAAATGTTGGATAATCTAACAAAGGATGTTTTTTTTTGTTTGCCAATGGGATGTTTAAAGTGTTTTGGGGCACACTTTGTCTTTTATTTGTACAAAAAGCAACTTGGTATGGCTTTATACTACAACATGCACTGATGTTTCAGCTCTTGGTATGAAGATTGTTTTGAAATCTTTGAAAAATTGTAAGGAGATGAACGGATGCTAAGAATGTGGTTAAAAGACAGTAAAAATAACATTCCACCACTAAATTGTTTTATTATTTATTTTTTTCGGTTCATGATTAAACCTGAAGGATTTCTATGATTTTTTTAAAAAAAATTTTATGATGAGTTATATACAATAATTTATTTAGAGCCTTATGACTCCATTTCTATTCTTGAATTGATTTCTAGGTAATATGTATATAATACAAATAATTTTACTATTTAAAAATAACTTTTGTATTTGAATAGAGTATTATCTATTTTGTTTAAATTCATTTACTCTTGTGATTTCAAATTTTAGTACTGAAATTTTTAGCTTTATTACTTCAGTCACTTCCGAAATCATGCTTGTAATTAATTTGCTGTTAAAAAAGAAGAAAAAAATGTAGCCTGTTCTTTGAGTGGAAAGTTTAGAAAAAAAAGTCATCTAAAATGGTCTAATAATTTCCATCTATCCATCAATCTCACGGCATAAAGAGAAGGCACCGGGAAAGCAAGGACGTGAGATGCTTGACGAGTGACGTATAAATAAGTCGACAACCATTGTAGTCCTGTAGCAATTTATCAGCGACGTATATCTTTAAAGCAAACAGTTGTTCCATAGAGGTATTTTATTGGTTGTAGTTTTGAGATATGACAATTGGTAACATATTTTACGTTACGTTGTAACTTAAGTAACAATTAATGTTAACTACAATTTTATTTTAGCCATGAGACGAAAACCGTAGCATCACAGGACTGGCCTACAAATGTACGTCATCAAACAGCTCGTGGCCGTAGTCGGGAGCGCGCGCGTCAGCTGACATCCGCAGAGAGCAGAGCCAGACATGGATCAACTCAAAGTCAAAGACAGGATCCTCGAAAACATCTCTCTGTCCGTCAAGAAGGTAAGAGACGTCCACTCATGCAGCGACGATACATTTCGACCTTCTCTAGTTTGTAATTCGAAGGTTACTTTGAGCTGTTTGCGGTTTACGCTATCAAAATAGTTGGGCCTCCCCCCCTTCTGCTGTGTTTTGGTGAATACAAACGCTTTGGCATCTTGAGAAAACATCCAATGTTGCCTTTTAAGAAAATGTTTTATGAATACAAGGTTAAGAAGTCAGCTAGCAGTGCGCTACATGAGTTTACTCTAGGTTATATTGTGTATTTATAGTGTAGTTAAAAGCTGTTTATCTGTAAAATGACATGAAAGGCATTAAGTCATTTTATACTTGAGTCAAGCATGTTTGAGTCAAAAGGTTTGTTCACTGACGCATCAAAACTGTGACATGAAGTCCCTGTAAACAAGTTCTGTGATCAAATGAGCTTCTATTAATAGGACAAACAGAGCTGCTACTTATTTTATGGAGCCATCCCAGGTCACCCTTTATTTCTATAGCCATTTTGTTCTGCATTAAAGGGATAGTTCACACAAACATGAAAACAGACTGTCAGAGATGTAGGTGGTTTTTCTTTCTCAATAGTACATTAAAGGTGCAATATGTATTTTTTATATTTAAAATATCTAAAAATCCCTAGAACACTGACTAATGGACTTGCATTATCCCAAACATTTAGAAAAAAGTTCAAGCCAACCTGTGACAGACTGTGTGCTGTCTGGCCATGCTAAACTTTTGGTTTGGTTTAAAGAAAACATGGAAGTTGCCAAAGATGCTTCATTATGTTGTGTGTTTTATTAGTCCGCATGCAGCATTATAACAAAATAATAATGTATTTAGCATGGTAAACAGCGCTGCTTCTTCCTCAAGTGATTGTGTCCAGTCAACTGTGGCATAATAAAAGCTCTGCTGCTTTTCCTGTTGTGCTTGTCTCTCATCAGCATTTACTTCAGAGCTCTCGTTTTGTGTCGACAGCTTTTAGCTTCACTTTGTTTGATACTACCATAAAATATCAAAAAATCACTAGAACTATTCTATATATTTTGCTGACCTATGTACTTGCATTATCCCAAACATTTAGACAAAATTATAACAAAATATTAATGTATTTAGCATGTTAAAACAGCACTACTTCTTCCTCAAATGATCATGTCCAGTCAACTGAGGCATAATAAAAGCTCTGCTGCTTTCCCTGTTGTGCTTGTTGCTCATGAGCAATTACCTCAGCACTTTAGTTTTGCTTAGACTGCTTTTAGCTTTACTTTGTTTGATACTACCATGAAAAAAATATCCAAAAATCTCTAAAACAACGTTTTGCTGACTTGCGTTATCCCAAACATTTAGAAAAAAGTTTAAGCCAATCTGGCTAATACAAAAAAAAGTGTATATTATTTTAACATATTTGATTATATAGCGTGGATTATAATATAATCATAGATTATATTTCTTTAAAAAAAAAAAAGCTTGAAAAGTTGTAGGTAGCAAGATGGTGATGACGTAACGAGAGTGCCCAAATCAGTGTAGTCTGTTTATTACCTAATGTTACCTTTTTTGCTCTTGCGTTTGCATTTAGGATCCAAAAGCGACGTTATATTATCGTGTGAGGAGAGTCCGGTTGGACAAAAAGTGTAATGAACAGTGTTTAAACACAGAGCTTATATTTGCAATTTTCGAAAAGCCTATGGGAAAAATTTTATCGAGGAAATCAGTTTTATGCTAGCAGCCGATTGGCCTGCATGTTGACATTATAGTTCCTCCACTCTATTGGATCAGCGCTCTCGTTTTGCTTCGACAGATTTTAGATTTTAGCTTCATTCTGGTTGATACTAGCAAGATAAATACTGAAGCTCATCCATGAACATGGTTTCCCAATTGGTCTCTCATGATTCCACACTTAGTCATGGCATCAGCAAACTACTCCTTTGTTGGTTATAAAAAGGTGTCCTCTATTAGAAAAAATGACATACTGTGCCTTTAAATAAGAATTTGAATAGAAACCGAGGTACATGGTGATTTATAAAATTCAAGTCAACAGTTGACGCACTCCAGTTTTAGCGGTGTATATTTTTGAACTAATATCCTTGGCTTCTCTGACGATGCAATAAGGTATTATAAAGGGAAACAATTAGTTGCAAGACACTGGATGTTTTTTTTTTTTTTTAAATGCATTAGTACCTTTATTCTCAGCAAAATGTTCTGAGCAAAAGCATAAGACTGTGGATTAGCTAATGTTGTAAATATTGTTTGGTTCTTACATGGACTGAACATTTTGCTTCGTCAGACTTTATTGTATCATTGGGAGACAAGAGTACTTAGTTTTTGCCTTTTGTATATTCATTTTGTCTGTCAGCTCTGAGTGTGTAAATTAACAGCGCATTTTTTTGTTTGATGAAGTACCCATTAACCTTGCTGAATCTTGGCTGTTTACATGATCATGATTGATGCTCTTACTTTCACTGAACATCAGTGACTTGCACACCCTGCTGTCGTAGGATTTTTAGCCTATCAGGTGCTTGGCATTAGTGCTTTCTCATGGGTATTTGTGATGGACTTGCACAATCTGAGAATCACAGAGTGTGAAATCTAAAAATGCGTTTTCTAGGTTGTTCATCCAGAATAAAAAGGATTGCTTGAAATGTCATGGCTTTGTGCACAGAAATTTACCACTCGACTTCTTTCATTCACTCTTAAGGGCTGTCTCCTTAACACTTCGTAACGTTTAATCCACAGTTGCAGAGTTATTTTGCGGCCTGCGAGGATGAGACGCCAGCCATCAGGAATCACGACCGGGTTCTTCAGCGCTTGTGTGAACACCTGGATCACGCTCTGCTTTATGGGTTAGACAAACTGCAAAGGAGCCTTTCAAAACTGAAGCACTTTCACAGTAGACCATTGAAGGCTTAAAGTGTTCTTCTGTTTCTTAAAGGCTGCAGGACATTTCATCAGGTTACTGGGTCCTCGTATTACACTTCACACGACGAGAAGCCATTCGACAGATCGAGGAACTCCAACACATAGCCACCAATCTTGGCAGAAGTAAGATGATGTGCTGCTTTGAAATGTTAAAGTACACTACTGTTGAAAATTTGGCGTCAGTAAATTATTATTATTATAGGTCATATAATAAATTATTAGTAAGTATATTAAACTGTTTTATATTATATTATATTATATTATATTATATTATATTATATTATATTATATTATATTATATTATATTATATTATATTATATTATATACCTATCAGTACTGAAATGTTAAACATCCTTTTCCTGCTAACATTTGAGCGCTGTTGAGCACATTTGTAAACAGCGCTGTTTTTTCATTATGTTCAAATGCTCAACAAAAATGACAGAATTTACAGCTGTTTACTGAGTGTAACCACAGATACAGGGACACTGGACTGTTTCAAAGCTGCGATTCATCAGCGGATTGCTCATATGGCATTCTATAAACAAACCAGCTGATTGATGTGACTTTGAAATCCTCCAGTGTCTGTGTATCTTTGTTCACACTTCATAAACAGGGGAGAGTTTGGTAAACTGATGACAGCGCTCAAATGTTAGCGAGAAATGGACGTTTTTAAAATGTCAATATCGATTGGTACTGAATTCCAGTATCGTGACATATTATATTATATTATATTATATCATATTATCTAGCAGTGTTCCTTTTACTTGATCAGAGTAAAATTCTATTCACACTGCAGTGATCGATGATAACAAACTTGGACAAAACAGGGCTCGAAATTTCAACCATTTTGGTCGCATATGCGCCTGAAATTTAAGCTATGCGACCTCATAATATATATTGGGAGCATTCGTGCGACTGCATATAATAGTTGTAGTGCTACCTGTTTTTTTTTTTTTTTTTTTTTTTTTTTTTTTAAAAACGTGGTAAAATCGGTCTTCCCTGCCGCTATATTGGTTCATATTAGCTGTCAATCACTCAAGACTTTCCGCTGTCAGATGACAGGGAGGGAGCTTTTGTGACCACGGGGAATGCAAACGGCTGAAGAGTGAAAAATACACTGACTTTCGATGCGTTGCATGCACTGCGTGTTCAGCCAACACAATTTCACGGCAATTCGTAAAATTTACCTACGTTTCCTCGTGAGATCAGGCTGCAACAGCGCAAATGTCCGCTTAAACGCCAAAGAAGCTTGCCTTTACTGCGTTTAAACTGATGCGGGTTATTACAAAGAAAGAACAGTATTGCGCCGGTGGTCATCAGGAGAATCCTGCTCTGGCCCTCTCATATATTGGGTCGGCTGACTCGCATGCTTTCCCGCAAACACAGAAAGATGTTATTCAGCGGGTAATGAGGCTGAGCATTAAAACGACACAAACCGAAACCAAAACTTTTAAAAGTGAGACGTTTCTTTCTTTCTTTTGTCTATTCTTTCTTGAGGTGTATAATATTTTTCTATTTAATTACTGATGACTGCTTTGCAGCTTTCAGCATTGAATTGAATGATTTATTATATTATTTAGTTTGTTTTGTTGCAGAACTATTATTTATTAAATTGACATGCATATTAAAAACAATAGTACAAAATAAATATTTCTTAATACAATGCTTCATTTGTGGTTGATGCAAACCATCAATTTATTTTTCATAAAGTAACAGTAGGACTTTATATAGCAGATAACTTGGATTAAAGCACATTCAAAGCAGCATGATGATGAGAAATATAATTCATTATTAGTATTATTGTCATCATCATCATCATCATTAATATTTTATAATTATTCAACATTCATTTTGGAATTATTGCACAAATATTAAGTCATCACAGCATTAGTTAGATAGTTGTTTCTGGGTTTTGTTAGTCCCAATTGATGTTGTTTTCAAATACAATAAATCCCTTAATATACAACTTGTCAAATATATCATTCATTTTTGGTGGGTGCTCCTAATTTTTTTCTGGTGCTCCTAAATATTTCAGGTTGAGAGCACCGGTGCTACCAAGTAAGAAAGTTAATTTCGAGCCTTGTAAAAGATTTCAGCTCTGAGAGATGACAACAAACACAACTTCATGTGTTGCCACCTGTCTGCATCTGTTTGTGCCATTTGAATTGCCTTTAAGAATTTATAATGTTACATAAGATTTCTGTTAAGAAATTTTCTTCTTTTGAAAACCGTTTGCAATATTGATAATTATAAGAGATTTTGTAACAATTAAGCAAAAATTTTGCTTCTTCTAATATTTGGTGATTAGATAAAACAACACTGGCCCCAAATATTTGATGTATAATATTGTGGTAATTGTTTGGACTTAGTTTCCTTTAGTAAACTATGACTGCTATGTTGTTGTTGTTCTGCAGGCCGTGCCTGGCTGTACTTGGCGCTCAATGAAAGTTCTTTAGAAAGCTACCTCCGACTTTTTGAGGAGAATCAAGGACTGCTCCAGAAGTACTATTACAAGTGAGTGACTTTGAGATAATGATCATGATAGTTCTTCTGTGGTTTCAGATCGTGAAAGCTTCCTTCAAGCAGTCATCTGATTTTTAAAAAGCCGCTTCCTCTTTTTCCAGAAATGCATTGGTTTGCAGTCATGACCATCTCACTCTGTTTCTTACGCTCGTCTCTGGGCTTGAGTTCATCCGCTTTAACCTGGAGCTGGTATGATGTAATCTTTATTGATTTCTCCTGTCTGTAATTAAATCAGCCGTTACACTGCATGTTCTAGACCTCAAGTTTCCAAAAGAACGTGTGTTAAGCAAAAACAAATACTCTTCCTTACAGGCTGCTTATAAATGTTATAATTTAGATGATCTGTCTGGTCAGAAATGCATCACGGTAATTCATTTTAAATAGTCCTGCACAGCATGATTTGAAAAATGAAGTATATTGTAATATGAATACTCCATGTCTCTTAAGTTGAGCTAGTAAATAACTATATTAATTTTTAATTTTTTTTACTATATCTATTTTTAGATGGATTATTGGATACTATATGCAATTTCTGAAGATATCTATTTTATACACACAACCTAATGATATCTTAAAATACTGCTTAAACACTCTTCTATGTCTTGCTGTACTTCGGGCCTGACTTACTAACAGCTTGTTCTAGTGTAAACTACTGGTTTGAAAAGGTGTGGACAATTATTTTTGTTACTGACCTTATGGCATATATATATTTGTAGGACTTTCTTTATTTCTTGACAAAAATTATAAGAGAAGAATATTTGGATTAGTGAGGCAGCTTGACTTAATATTAGTCAGTTTTACTGTTGTTTCTAACATTATTCAACACATCCTCAGCTCATCCAAGATTTTTGGGGGAGTATGTTTGATTGAACTATCTCTTTCACATATTTTGTGCTTGACATGCTGTGGTATTTATTTGTCAGAATGAGACTTTTTTTTTTTATGTGCACTTTAGGAAGTTCAGAGAACTGCGAGTGTTTGGTAGAAGGGTTCTACCTGTTTGTGAGCCTGCATTAATTGTGTTGCTTCTGCATTAATTGTGTAGATTGCATTGGTCATTATGGAAATGAGCTGCTGTGTTTGTGTTTAATTTGAGCACAGACAGTAGATCAATCACAATCACAACTTTCCATTCCCATTAGTTTTTTTTTTTAGGATTGAACTTGTTTAGTAAATCTGGTCCTTTGTCAAAGATATACCATAAATATTGTATCAGTCATATCAGTCAATATTGATAATTATGACTATAGATGTAAAATCTCAGTTTCTTTCCAGTTTAAAGGCAGATTGTTGATCCTAAGGGAAATCTGTTGAAGCCAGACTGTTAATTAATAAATTACCCTTTTAATTTCATAAGATGGCAAACAAAAGTCAGTCAAATAGACATTTCACAAATGCTATAATGATAAAAATGTCTAAAAACTGCATTGAATTGTTTCCTTAACCAAATATTGTAGTTAATTTTTTAGTTCTAGCATGTTCTTATTGTTCTTATCAAATTAATTATATTATTAACATAGTATCATAAACCTATTGAACGTTCTCTTTTTTTAATCTTGCATTAAATGGAGCTTATATTGCAATAATAATCATTGTTTTATCTTCTAGCACTGTTGCTATCTATCCTTCATTTTCTATACATTTCTATGTATATATCAATGGCAGGATGTTCCATACTTGGATGTTGCTCCCTACATGCCTGAATACTACAAACCTCAGAATCTGTTGGATTTTGAGGAGAGGTTGCCGAGCTCTGATAGTCTGTCACTACACTCGTTCACTTCTCTCACATCCACTAATCTCGAGTGGGATGACAGTGCCATCGCCCCATCCAGTGAAGGTAAGCTAATCACTTCTCTCTCTATTTCTTCAGTTTCTTGATCTTATTTTCACACTTCTGGCTATTAACTTATCTTTATTCTTTTCTTCAAATTGAAAAAGATGAACTCTTAGATCACAGGTGTCAAAGCCAGTTCCTGGAGTGCCGCAGCTCAGCACAGTTTAGTTTCAACCCTAATTTAACACACCTGATCAAACTAATTAAGTCCTTCAGGCTTGTTTGAAACCTACAGGTAAGTGTGTTGGAGCAGGGTTGGAACTAAACTGCGCAGAGCTGTGGCCCTCCAGGATCTGGCTTTGACATCTGTGTGTTAGATCATTTATATAAAATCTAGTGTTCAGCAATCTTAGATTACTGCTTCTATTTCATCTGATGACACATTTCACAACCCATTATGTCACTGTGTCTTTTTCAGTTGTCGGTTTTTATTAGTTCCTCATATGGCAAGCTTCACTTTCACTTGATCTCTTTTGAGTTTCTGTTCTTCTTTCATTCACTTCATTATTCGTTCTTGTCTATTGATGAGTCTTATTTCTCCCTCTTTTAGATTATGATTTTGGTGACATCTTCCCTGTGTTGCAGTCATTGCCAAGTGCAGACTGGGAAGGTGGGACATGGTTATTTCCCCCTCCCCAATCTAATATTCGCCCAATCCATCTGTCCGGACTAACTAACAAGCATTGTGCATGTCCGTCTCACTCAGTGCATGTTTGTTTCACATGCATAAGCTGCTGTAGGCATTGTATCTGTGATGTAGACTTCATAGATGGGTACTGTGGTGTTTATGTTCTTATTGGACTAAAGCGATCGCCACTCTCTGCTGATGTAGGGTTTGTATGGGATGATGCTAAAAGAAACTCTGTGCCTGATGCAGCTGAACCTTTTTGTCTGTTGTCGGATTGCCTTTCCTGTCATGTGGCAGTGTGAAAGCTGGTTTGCATGCATGATGCTTGGATTTAACCTACTGCTTCCTAACTGTTTAAATTCAGTGGCAAATGTTAGCCACAATTTACTCTTATCAAATAATTAAAATAACCAAATCCTATAGTATTTTAATTGTAGTTTTTGCTTATCATATTGTTTGTAGGGCTGACAAAAATGTGTTTTTAGATTTGTTCCGTTTATGTATATTAGTGCCAATACAAGACCATATTAAGTTGTTAACATTTAATGTACCTGCTAACATTAACTTGTCTTTTTTTTAAATAAATGAAACGCACACATACAGCGCATCTGGAAAGTATTCATAACGCTTCACTTTTTCCACATTTTTTTTATGTCACAGCCTTATTCCAAAATGGATTTAATTATTTTATTTCCTCAATTCTACACACAATACCCCATAATGACAATGTGAAAAAAGATTTTTTGAAATTGTTGAAAATTTATTAAAGATAAAAAACCTCTGAAAAATCACATTTACATAAGTGTTCACAGCCTTTGCTCAATACTTTGTTGATGCACCTTTGGCAGCAATTACAGCCTCAAGTCTTTCTGAATACTTTTTCGTTAAGTGATCGGCATGCAAACGCTACACGCTTTGCAGAAGTATAAATCAGCCTGAGTCCCTTTATTAATCTGGAGTTGCCACAGCAGAATGAACCGCAAACTTATCCAGCACATGTTTTATGCAGCCATTATGCCCTTCCAGTTGCAACCCATCACTGGGAAACAACCATACACACTTAATCGCACGCATACACTACAGCCAATTTAGCCTAACCAGTGTACCTATACCACATGTCTTTGGACTGGTGGGGGAAACCGGAGAACTTAGAGGAAACCCACACGAACACAGGGAGAACGTGCAAACTCCACACAGAAATGCCGAGGCTCGAATCAGCGACCTTTTTGCTGTTAACCGATTGTGTTACCCACTGCGCCACCGTGCAGCTCATTCATTCACAGATTTGTTTGCAACAATTTCAAAAATCTTTTTTCACATTGTCATTGTGGGGAAGTGTGTAGAATTTTGAGGAAATAAATGAATTTAATCCATTTTGGAATAAGACTAGCATAAAAAAATGTGGAAAAAGTGAAGCGAAACGAATACTCTCTGAATGCACTTTAAATATGCATTGTATGTAATTTAAAAATGCAAAATGAAATGAAACTTATAGGCTAAAGTGAACATTCAGAATGTATTTGGGTGAAAAAAGTTTTTTTTTTTTTTTGTAAAATTGTATTAATATCAGATTAAAAAAACAAAGAATTTTCCATGAATTTGACCTAAAATCCAAATTTCCTTATTTTTTTTTTAAAATGAGAATATAAAGCAATGGTCTTAATTATTCAGATTTATTCAGTAATCAACACAGAAATATTCAGAATTTACACATTGACAGTTAACACTGATTAAAAGCTGTTTTCATAATGGCTTATTATTTGCCTATTATCAAGATATTGGCTGTTTATTTTTTATTCTACATCCCTAATACTAACCAATACTTAAACCCAATCTATTATTTTAAACTACTTTACTAACTATTAATAAGGAGCTAATTTAGTAGTTTATTGAACACCGTGTTAGTTGATGGTTTGTTAATGATGAGAATTGTACCCTAAATAAGTGACCCCTTTTTAAAATCTGGATATTAGCAAAAAAATGTGATATTAGCAGCAAATAGAATTTTCTTTATTGAATTGAAGGATGAGATGGAAGTAGCTGGAAAGCCAAGTATGTGTTTGTTTGTCTGTGTGCATTTGTCATGATTCAGCAGCTCTTAATCTTGCCTAAATCTCCAAACAGGAATTCCTAATACCTGCATCTCATATGGTTTCCTTGTTCCTCTTGTTTTTTGGACAGAGGGAGACTTGACTGATCCAGTCAGTGGGCCGCGCTCTTCAGGATCAGACCCTCAGACTGTTGTCAGTGACTGTGTTATAGTAAAAGCCTCGGCGGGCACCATCAGAACCACATCTCTGTCAAGAAGCCCTACATTTCGGCAAAATCCCTTCACTGAGGACTCGGACACCAACACTTCAGCTGACGTCACCCCTGTGCACATAGCAAGCCGGCACACTTCAACAACTGGAGAAGACGCTGAAATCACCAGCACTGAGCTGGAAGTCATTAGGTGTGTATTAAGTATTACAACTTATGGTTCAGGATTATAATAATGCAGATCACACATTAGGAGTTGAGTAATTGGTTAGGGCAATGGTGTTGTTTTTTTGTGTCCAATACTATAATGTATTTCTGATATTTGACTGATGTATGAAGATGTTGGCCTTTCAGGCAATGGCTGAAATCTATGATTCTCAACCACGTTCCTAGAGGTCCACCAGCTCTGCACAGTTTTTGTGCCTCCTTAACCAAATGCACCTGATTCCGATCATCAGCTCATTAGCAGAGACTGAAGGACCTGAAATGGGTGTGACAGACAAATGAGAAACCAAGCAGTGTTGGTGCTTCTCTAAATATGTGGTTGAGAAACACTGTTTTAGAGTATACAGGTGAAATCAGAATTATTAAACTCCCTTTGGATTTTTTTTTTCTTTTAAAAATATTTTGCTAATGTTTAACAGAGCAAGGAAATTTTCACAGTATGTCTTATTATATTTTTTCTTCTGGAGAAAGTCTTATTTGTTTTATTTTGGCTAGAAAAAATAAATTTTTAATGAACATTTTAAGGTCTAAATTATTAGCCCCTTGAAGCTATACTTTTTCTGATAGTTTACAGAACAGGCCATCCATATACAATAACTTGCCTAATTACACTAACCTGCCTAGTTAACCTAATTAACCCAGTTAAACCTTTAAATGTCACTTTAACCTGTATAGAAGTGTATTTAAAATATATTGTCAAATTTTATTTACTGATACTAATAATTCAGGGGGGCTAATAGTTCTAACTTTAACTGCATATAGCAAATGACGCAAAGTGCATTATATGGGGGAATGAATATATTTTAAGATCAGGGATTTCAAAGCAATAAGGCCTCAAGGGAGTGCTAAGGGGTCAGTAAAAATATTTGTAGGAAAAGCTGTACAAATGTTAAAAAATATATTTTAAATGAATAAATAACTTGATGAAAAAAAGAGGGTAAATAATGAACTATTTTGTTTAAATGAATGAACACATATTAGTATAAAAGAAACCAAGACGTATTTTTAAAATTAAATAATTATTGAAAAACAAACATTATACATTTTAAATGAACAAACTCAGTGGGACAAGGCTGATATGTGGGCAGCTGTGGCTTCTACAAGACTTAAAACCGTATTAATTATTACATGGTTTTCAAACTTTTTTCTTATTGCAAGTTTCATATTACAAATTCCACATCTTTATGGTAGTTTCTGCACATCCAGGAATAAGTTACACTTATGAGCACTGTAAAACATATGACCACCAGCAATGACACTTTATGTGCATCCATTATAAATGTTTCATTAATGTAATTTGTTATGCTGCTTGCTAATTTGTTTTCTCAGCATAAACCAATACTGCTAAAGAGACATGAAAAAAGATCTTTCAATACTATTTGGTACCACTAACAGTGCAGAAAAGAGCTTTTAAAATCCTTTTACCTGTGACATATTGTTCATTTTATAATGCCGAACAGTTTTATCATTAGCCAGAGGAAATCCACATTTCCCTGTCATGTTTTCACCAGTATGTTTTTGTTTGACAGAATGGCACGGCGACGAAAGCCTGGCAAGAAACGACGCGGCAGAGGATCATCAGTGAGTAGTGAACAGAACGTCATCTCTCCAGAAGTGACTGATGAATGCCTTCAGATTGTAGTTGAGAGAGACGTCACAGTAAACCACATCACCGTGGACAGTCGAGTTCCTCTGGAGCGTGCTGACAGCACTGCTTCAGAACCCTTGAGGAATGGGAGACGCGAAGGAGAAGAAGAGGAGCCTGAAACTGGACTGAGGCTTCCAGAAATGACGGACACTTCAATGGACAACGTAGGGCAACCCCTCCGTGAGGTCATGGACAGGCTGAATGGGTCTCTGGATGCTGAGGATGGAGCAGAAGAAATTTGCACCGCTCACGACGGGCCCCCCAATCAGCAGCCCTTTCGAGAGGATGCTGGCGGTGAACCTCCAGACCCAAGCGATGGTTTCCTGCAGGCCCCGCTGCCGCCTGCAGACTTCTACTGCTTTACCTCCCAGAGTCCAGACCCTGCTGCCTCAGGTGGTGGGCGCCATGACTCTGCAGGGCATGGCGAGCCGCAGGATGTTCCTGTTAGCAATGAAGATGAGGGAGAAGCAGAAGCAGAGGCAGCAGCTGCAGGGCAGGATCCCTCCATCGCCATAGAGACCTCAGAGAAGAAACTGAGTGAGACAGAAGAAGATGATGAAGATGCAACACAGAGCTCTCATGCTGCAGAATTCAAGTGAGATAGTAAATTGGTTATGATTTTAAGTATGTTTAGATGAGCAACAAAACATACTGATAACTAACAAAAATAAGCTCTTTACAATAGACAATGGGCTCTATGCACTGCTAGTGTTTTTCAGCCAATGATAGACTTTCAGTGGTAGCTTAATGTGACTTCGATTTCATAGGGTTCCTTTTTGCAGCATCGATGTTGTAGTGTGAACATGATCAGTTAAATAGACTTACGCATTTATTTAGTTGCTCAAGTGTAAAACAAGATGAAAGACCATGTAATTGCTAGCGCCGTCAGTAGCTGCGGGCTAGTGCAGAAACTCCATGGAAAATACTAGAGTGAAGTTAATGTTCATATTTTAAAGGCATGGCGGGAGAAAGTCCCTTTGAGGCAAGTCATTTCACTTGGTGGCCATCTTTGAAATGCCTCTCAGGCAGTGTACTCAGGTATTCTGTCTGAATGGGGAAACATCAATTACTCTGTAAATAAACTGTTTACGATTACATTACATATTTGGAACCACCGTTAAAATGAATCGATAACCGTCTCATACGTTAATTTCTAAACATCCAAATCAAACAAAATCAGCATATTTTCAGGTTGCCCGAGCTAATGCGCATGCACACTCGAATAGGAGATCAAGACACCAACCTCATTATGGCCATTCCACACATTATCATCCGCTGGATAATGATCGTCTGATCCCACTGGTCTTCCGAAGTAATTTACAACTTGGTTTTGAAAAAAATGACAGTGACACTGTTTACAACTTAGGGACATTTGAGGAGTTGCTGCTGTCATGTGTTGTGTGTTTGACAGGACAGACTGTAACTCGCATTCGTTTCATAAAGATTACAAAACCAAAATCTGTATTTGTTTTCCAGTTTTCAAAGTATAGATTTCAAGCCTTGTGTGGATATATTTCTTATGTCTGTGAAACAAGTATTTGCTGAGATGCCAGTGCGTTTTGTTGACAACCAAACTGTTGTAAAAAACACACATCTGATCTCCCGGAGAAACGTTGGTCTATATCGATCGATGATTGGCTCCTATACTAGTAGGCGGGCTTCATTCGTCATATTAACCGTTATACTTTTCCCCATTCAAAGCTATATGAGTGACATGTCTTGTGTATTCTAGAGGCTTTGGTTTAATGCAGTAGTGTTGTCCGGTCTAAAACCCTCTTTATATTGTATATGTATCAGGCATTGAAGATCCATGATTTTAAATTAAATCAGATCTTAAACATGGCGCTTTTGTAATGGTGCGACAGTTCAGCGGAATCGCTTGGGTTGGCTGACTAATAAATCAAAAGTCCATGTGCATAAACACCATTGTCCTGCTTTACATAAAAATCAGTTAACATCTTTTAACTGATCAAAATACGTTAAAATCGGCAACACACGTACAATGCATTTCCAAAACTTTCAATAATAAATCTGTTTATTTTGATGAGATTGACGTCAAAGCGTAAATATTTGCATATCTGTGAGTATTAAATTGATTTAAATTGACACCCTCACCAAAAGCTTACACCTCTCTCTGGAGATGCAGGGTTTTGACTATAGCACTGCTGTTTCTAATGCGCAAGTTAAGAACACATAATTGTAACATTTGCTCTGCCAGAATGCACTTTAAATCTGTGCTTACATCCATCCAATCTATTTGCGATTACCATAATAAATTGACCGAAGGTTTATTATGCGTTTACATACAGATTAATGCGTTTACATACTTGCCAAAATCAGCATAACAGGCAAATATCTAATGATAGAGACTGCTTATTGTCACTTTACAACATGCAATGTCGGTTTATCAAGCATGATCAGTTGAAGAATGTGAATAACACACACTCAGTGAGAACAGCTCAATAATTATGACGGCTCATGAATAATCAGATTCAGAATTATCAGAACAATTCTAATCACTTATGAGGTGAAAAGTGAATTGTTTTGGTTTGTTTGTTTGTTGTGCAGGGTGGATAACAATCATCTGCTGCTGCTCATGATTCATGTTTTCAGGGAGAATGAAGAACAGCTCTTTAAGGTGAACATATTTGTGTTTTGTTTTAATTGTGCTGTGTATTTAATGACTGTGCCAAAACCATTTTTTTTGTGTGTGCGTTTTGTGTTTTGTTAAGGAACAGAAAGCCCTTTTTAGCCAAATAAATGCAGCATTTAAGAAGTAAAATAAAATTGTAAAAATGTGAAATATTAATTTAATTTAAAATACGTTTTCTATTTTAAATTATTGAATGGTGAATTGGTTCCAGAACACTGCTTACTTTTATTCATGTTAAATTTGGTTTGTGGAATTTCAATTTTATTTATTTATTTGTTATAAGTTATAGGATAAAGAATAGGATTTTATAAACAAAAAATATCTTACCCTGAGCTTGGTAGCCTACATTTACAATGGCTTTATAGTTTGCAATAGAGTTTTGTGTTTGTTGAAAGAGGTTCATCTAGTCCCCTCAATGAAATCTGTGAAACAAACCTCTACTTCACATTTTATTGGAATAAAATGTACCAACTGTAATTAAACCTGTTGCAATTGCTGCTAATTTTAATGTGTAATATAAATAATACTCCCATTCTAATGAAACTATAAACTGATGCAGTTCTATTAATTAGTCTGCATTTCTCTTTCAGATGGTGAGGATGAGCACAGGCCACATGGAAGGAGATCTGCAGCCTCTATATCTGCTCTTAACAGACTGCTACATTTACCTCTTGCGAAAAGGTCAGCAAAACGTCAGTAGAATATCAGAGCATTGCTACAGACATTTTAAAAAGCACTAGTTTACATTCACTGTTGTGTCTCACTGATTTTAGGAGCAGCAGAAAAACCTTACAGTGTTGAGGAGGCAGTGTCTTATAATGAGCTGGACTACATCTCTGTGAGTAAACCACCTGAACACTAAATGATCAGATTGACTTACTGCAGAGAGAAGGCAATATTTTTTTTTTCAAATATTTTCCAAGTGCTGTTTAACAGTTTTTTTTCAACACATTGTTTTAAACATAATACTTTTAATAACTCATTTCTGTTAAATAATTTCTTTTGTCTTTACCATGATGACAGTACATGATATTTTACTGATTATTTAGCAAAATACTAGTATTCAGCTTAAAATGCAAAGTTTGTTCTGTAGCCAATAGGGGAAAATGTAAATTCCCAAGGGGGCTAATAATAGTGACCTTAAATTCAACCCCCAACCAAAAAAAAAAAAGAGACGCGACTGTTTCCAGTAGAAAACATATTATAGGAATTAATGTAAAAATTTCCTTGCTCTATTTTATTGCTTTAACTTGCTTAGAAAATATATAAATAAAAGAAATAAAACCATTTCAATAGCTTAGTTTTAGCTCAGTGTTTCTCAACCACATTCCTGGAGGACCACCAAAACTGTATGTGTCACACCCATTATAGTCTTTCAGTCTCTGCTAATGAGCTGATGATCTGAATCAGGTGTGTTTGGTTAAAGAGACATGGAATATGTGAAGAGCTGGTGGTCCTCCAGGAACAAGGTTGAGAAACACTGATGTAGCTAATTCAATACCTAAGTTTGCCAGGAGTTGGCACATTACTAAAAACAGCTAATATAAGTTTTGGTCTTAATAATATATATATATATATAAATAAATTCTGAGCAAATTAGTTTTTATTGCTTGAACAACAAAGTTGAAGCTATGCTACAAAAAAATAAGATGTATATGCAATAATTCAAAGACTCACCGCCACGACTTGAGAGTCCTTTACACATTTTTCCTCACACGGCACAAGGCACTTCCATCATGAATGAGATGCATTATTATGCATGAGAAAGTATCTCTTCTGACAGGGATTTCTTGAGACTTTAAAGCCATTGTTTGTGCCTCAGGTGGGTCTTCACCAGCAGACCATCACTCTGGTGTGCACCAACAGAAGACGGCAGTTCCTGCTGGACACTGCGGACTCGTCTCTGACTGAGTGAGTTTTTCAGTTGAAGTCCATCACCTTGATGTTAACTATTATAAATATTTGACCAGGATTTCTTCACGGTCTCTCCTCAGCTGGTTTCTGACTGTGTTGAAGGAGGCTTGGGAGAATGGCTGTAGGGAACCTCCATATCCCTCTATTCTCACTGACGCCACCATGGAGAAACTCGCTCTCTCCAAGTTTGTGTGCCAGGAGACTCACTGTGAGGTAATAGAGCAGATCCATCACCCTGAATAATTGATGAGACTCTGGCAGATGCTGGCTCAGTTTGATAATCTTGGTTCTTTGTGCTGACTCTCTTTTAAAATGCCTTTACTAATGATTAAAGCATGTATAGTGATCAGTTTAGACCATTGCTCCTCAACTGAGGAGCTCTCAGTCTTTGAAGGGGAGGATCAGTAGTAATTGTGTTAATAAAGTATTATTAATTAAAAGGTGCAGTAGGTGATTGTCTTTAGAAACATGTTTTGTTGTGCTGGTTGAAAGTCTCGTCACAGTCCAATAGTAATGATTAAAATAAATTATCTAAATGTATTAATATGTATTTTTATTTTCTGGGTAAAGCAAAAAACTAAAAAAAAAAGGTTATCCAATTAAAATGTGTCAGGCTGATAATTCCCATAATTCTGAAAAGTATCCCAAACTGTCAACAAACGGAGATTTGTACATCTGCAGCCATTCATGCAGATCCGACATTTGGCGTTCATCTGAACACGAGAGAGCAAAACAAATACCAAATTAAAACTTTTTAAAATCCTGAATCAATTTGGGAGTTACTTTTGCAACTGGAGGAAGGATGACACCATAGCTGAAGTATTTCTTTTAGGCAGGTAATGTTCTGTTTTAAAACCGTTTTAGTCACGCAAAGCTTTTGTTGTTGTTACATACAAGTTATGTTACATGCACAGAAGTGTTGTTCAGCCACTGAAATCTCCCGGAAGAAGATTGATGTAACTATTGATGTGACCAAGTAAATGGTGCTATTCCGCCTAGCCTGCTTTATATTGTTTAACATGTTCCTCTGAATGTTCAGTCTGAAATAGCATGTCAGTATGGCTTAGTAATAAGTCATCGCCTTGGAATTATAAGGTTTTATCTGAGTTCTGAATGATTTTTAGATAATGAGCTTTAAAGTTTTTGCATTCTATATAGCAATCAATATGTGTGTAACATTTGTGTTTTAAATAAAAAATCTTAATATAAACAACTTATAAAAAACATCCCATAATGTAAATAAGTTTTCATTTAATAAGAATATGTCAGTTACTCAATTTTGTCAAAAATGTCAGATAGAACCATATAATTCTATATATAGTATACAGAATAGCATTCTATAATATAGTACACACACATACACAGCTAACTGTATTCAAACCTGAAACCTAACACTAGTAAATACATGCATGCATATTATTAAAATGACTCTGTATTTGCGTAATAATACTATAATAACCTCACCGTATGACTCAAGAGTAACTTGCCAGAGTACAACTGCTAATTCAACTGGCCTGCTAGGACTTGTCTAACTGATTTAATGCTAAGTGTCTTTGTGTAGATGTCTGAAATGAAGATTCGCCTTTATTCTCTGGTTCACTGGGAAGACCCAATGGATGTGACCGTGGCTTCACCGACATCTCCGTCGGGCTCTAGAGCATCCAGCAGCACTAAAGAGGGGCCGCTGCTGTACCGAGCCGGAAGCTCTTATTTGGGGAAAGAAGTGTGGAAAAGTTGTTACTTAGTTCTCAGGTATTAAAGATCTCATTAAACTGGTCAACAGTGTGTCGTCTTATTTATCTGCACTGAATGTTAATATACCAATCTACCTGGCAGCAATGGCATCCTGTATCAGTATGCAGAGAGAACAGATGTTACACCTTTGATGTCTGTTACCATGGGGTAAGATTTCACTGGTATTGGAGGTCATGGATTTTCCTCTTCTTTTTAATGTGATATCTTAATACTTATGTTTCCATGTGATTTGTGTCATAGGGGAGGGCATTGTGGAGGCTGCAGGCGTTCAAACAGCACAGAAAAACCTCACGCCTTTCAGGTGATTCTGACAGAGCATCAGCCATTAGAGCTCAGCGCAGAGAACGAGCTGGAAATGGCAGACTGGATGCTGCTGCTCTGCCAGTCTGTCTCTAAAGGGGTGAGCTGTCATAATGTACATCTTAGTGAATGTAAATAATCAAAAAATAAAGCATGTGTGTCAGTATATTAGCTCGTAGTGACCACAGTTGATAGGTAATCCCTCACTGCTCTGGACTGAGTAACTTTTGTAAAAGCAAGAGAATTAGGGCCAGGTTTACCATTGGCATGGAAGTTTATGCAGATGATTTTCAGACAGTGCACAAATTTAAGAAGAAAGATGTAACAGAAATGTGGAAGTGGTAAGGAAATAATTCATGTGCACGATGCCAAACTTTGCCTTTTTACTTCATAAAAAATTACATCTGACCTGGAAACTCCTAATAATACATATTTAATAAGGTTAGGTCCAAGAAAAGATTTGTCTGTGCCTTTTCATCACTTTTCTTCTCTGCAATAGTGAATGAACAGAGAAAAAGTTATAGTGTTCTGCTAAATCCCAGGTCATGTTAGACTATATGGGAGCTGACAAAGCTGCCAGGACAGCCCTAAAAGGAAAGATGCAAAATCTTGCCTTTAGATTAAAAGCCACTAATAAAAGGCTATATTTTTAAAATATGGCAAGCAAAATAATATTAGTGCTCCAGAAAATAAACCTTTTTTAAATTCATCTTGAAATAGAAAGAAATTCAACTTTTTATTTAACTTAAGACATGATGAGATTACAGAAGATGGTGTATCAGACACATGAGACTCAAACATGAACATTTACTCAAAGGAGAAGCGTCAATATTGCAACAGAAACCAAACTGTTAAACATATTCTTGTGGTATGCCTTATTTTTAATGTTATCAGACAACGTTTTTTATCAGGAGAGACTTAAAATGAAATGTTTAAATGTGAATCCTTCTGAAATTGTAACATTTTTATCAAATGTAAACTTTTTAGATGATTATTATTAATTTTATGTATTTTATCTTATGTATTATATATTGCTGTTGATGACTTTCGATTGTTAGAATATATCTGCCTGTTAATTTCTATTTTGCTCTAACAGTTAAAACTTTGCATTTATTTAATTTATTTATTTTTGTTCTTAATTTTACTCAAATACTAGGCACACTTAAAATCTAAACTCTTTAAATGATACAAAACTATTATAATTTAATTTGTGGTATTGATCTATTATTTATATTTTTTTATTATTTTTTTTTACTACTAACAGGATTCAGTCCTCAAATATTGTAAAATGATTCAATTGACTGTAATAACCATATTTTAAATAATAAAGTATTCTGGAGACTAGATCTCTTTGCTTATCTTGGGATAAATGAGTTCATCCTCTGTGTGTTAGTCTGTGCATTTGAAAGGCTTTTAGATTCGCCACATGATAATTTGTTGTTTCTCATCAGTTCCACACATGCCATCATATACATTTTAGTGAATGATGTTTGTAGATGGATGTTGTTTTTTTACTTGCTAGCTAATTTTCCAGATGTTGATCAGCATTTGTTTTTGCTTCTCAGATTATCCCACAGGGAGTTGCTCCTGCACCCTGCATCCCATGTTGCCTTGTGCTCACAGACAGGAAGTTACTCACGTGTCATCAGGATTGCCAGACCAGTTTTTTCCGTTCTCTTGGAGGAGCCGATTTGAACGATGTCACAGCTGTTTGCCTGGAGGACGACAAGGAATACTGTGTCATTGTAAGTCTTCACACCAAATGTGCCGCAAGCCTACGTTTGAGTGAAGGTTTCGGCCGTTAGATCGCCCCCTGGGGGCTGGCTGCAGTACAAGTCATAAAGCCCGCCTCCTCCGTGTTAATGAAGGAGACTTGAGCCCAAATAAAAAAAAATATTACACTTGCAATAAAATGTCCCGAAAGATAGTTCTGGTCGATTAAGGCACTAGTTATTGTGCTGAAATAGGTGCAGATCTTCATTTTTGTAAACAGTTTGTTTTTAGCAGTAATTTAATGCTGGGCGTGTCATCGTGATTGACAGCTGTGATTGACAGTTTCTCAAAGCGCGGCGTCTGAGCTTCGGCAGGAGACTGAAGTAGACTGAAATGTTATTATTCGATTTCTGTGTTATTTTACCATGACAAAATGAGTTCAGCAGTAAACTATAGTTTCTGACATACATGATCCTGGTGGAACACTGTTTATTCGCTAAGTTCAGGGCTTTTTTCGGGCTTTATTAGTTTGCTGATACACGCCTAACCACCCAGATAGCAAAACACAGTTCCGGCTAGATTCTCGCCTGCCGGAGACTTATCTCTTAGAGCTCAGACTGACTAATGTTACCTCTGCTGGACCTACTCCGGATGCCTGGACTCACTACCCAATTCCAGCCCGAGTCAATCGAGCCAGATGCGGCGGCCGAGCAAGCAGGCGCTGCCGCATGCGAGCCGGAATCAGCCCGCGACGCCGTGAGTAAGTTATGCGCTGCGGCCTGGAGCTGGCGCGATTGAATATATAAAACCCTCATATTTGTTAACGTTATTACATCCATTTGTGTTGATATGACAGCAAACGCATGCTGAGAAGTTCGGGGGGCGTAGTTGATTTTACATAAAGCGTTTGATTGGAAGCTCGACTCTGCTCATTTTCCCGGCTCCTCCTCTGGCTCCATCAGACAATCCTTCTGCGCATGTCTGGCTCCAATTTCAGCAGTCTTTTGCGACAGTTTGTGCCCGTCAAGCAGGCGTTTTGCCCTCAAGGCGTTCAATGGGAAAAAGGGCTGTCGCGTCGTCCATATTTTTTACAGTCATTGCTTCACACAGATTGTAGTGCACAAGAGGTCTCGGTGAACAGATGTTTGCCCTTTGTAGTTTCAGACCTAAAAATAAAATGATCACAGGTGTTTCTCAGAGGATTGAGGAAATGCCACATTATCTTATGAATGTGAACGTTTTTGTCAATGTGAAAGCTATTATTTATTTTATTTGCAGGAGTTTGCAGAGGATCGAGCTCAGTTTCTTCCTCCCTGGGTTTTGTATTTTAGCGGATGTAAGGAACGAGATCGGCTTATAGCAGAATTAAGTCAAGCATGGACTGCTGTATATCAGGTGACAAAAAATCCTTATAAGCTAGCATATCATCACATCTGAATGACATCCTTGAGTGCATAATAAATCATTTATTTGCAGACCTTTATGATGACTTCTATCCCATTTTCTAATACAGATGTCAGTTTAGACTATTTAAGCAAAAATACACGTTTTCCATAAGGAAGCCTTTAATTAATTAAAAGTGACAGTAAAGACATTCATAATTTTATTCAAGATTTTGTTTTTTAAATAAATGCTACATTTAACAGTGCTACAAAACAATCTTTACAACATTGATAATAGACAATAAACATTTTTTTTATTACCAAAGTATATTAGAATGATTTCTGAAAAAGGATGTTGCTGACTGCTTTAATGCTAGCTGAAATGTTAGCTTTTACACCCAACTAATTTCAAAATTGTATACAGTTTGATTTCAGTTCAAATATTCAATCAAATTTCCGACCTAAAAACTTTTAGATTCTCTTCACCTGCAAACCCTTGAAAAGCCATGTCAATAGCTTCTTTATTCGTGACAATAAAAGCTTTTTGTCAATAGTAAATACAGGCATCTTCCCGAGACTGTCGAAAAACTTATTTGAATTCTTTCTTGGTGTTAGTGCTTGAGCTGTGGGGCAAAATTGTTTAAGAAATCCATTCTTCAAGTCAAGTCAAACTTTATTTATAGAGCACTTTAAAAATACAGAAGTGAGCCAAAGTGCTCTACAGAAAATATACCACAAAATAAGCATAATCATTTTTAAAGTACATGATAAAATATAGCTAAACTACCTAAAAAGACACAGATTAAAATTGCCAGGTATTAAAATCAGCTATCAAATGCCAACGAAAACAAATGAGTTTTAAGAGCGGACTTAAATTTGTTTTTGGAACAATCAGGAGAATCTGATTAGCTGACCTGAGAGAGCGAGTGGGCTTTATAGGGGTGTATCAGCTCAAGAGATATAAGGTTGAGCAAGACCATTTATGACCATTACGATTTCAACACAAATAAAAGAATCTTAAACTGTATTCTAAAATGAACTGGCAACCAATGAAGCAAAGCTAACAAGGGTAAATTGGGTCATATTTGCTAGTACCAGTTAACAGGCGTGCTGCAGCATTTTGCACCATTTGCAAACGGACAATTGCTGACTTACTACTCCCCACATACAGTGCATTACAGTAATCTAACGGAGTGGTCACTAAACCATGGATCACGGTCTCAAACTGTTGTTTTTGTATATATTGCTTTAATTTTGCTGATTGTCTTAATTGAAAAAGCTAGATTTAATTACCGCCATCGCATTCTTGATGAATTATTTGCATCAGATGGTGCTGCATACTTTACAGACAGCGGTACACTGCTTACATCCGATTCCTTACAATTACCATCCTAAAATAATCAATAATAAAATATGGAAAGGTTTAAGAGAAACAATGAGTGTTCATAGGGAGCTGTTTTCATTATTCTCAAGATATAAAAGCCAACTTACATGACTAAATAACAAAAATAAAAAAATAAAATTGAGTTACTTGAGTAACTTTGAAACCCTTTTTGGGGTTTCAAACATAGTCTGTGAAAACTATTTAAAAAATCCTTGGAGGAATTTGAATTCTTGTACTTTCATTATACTATCTGCATGAATCCAGTTAACAGTGTGAATGTGTCCATGTATGTGTCCAGGTGAGTCTACCTCGTAAGGCAGTGTCAGACCTGTCGGTTCAAAAGAAGTGCAGCGAGGCTCTGGAGCTGATGAAGAGCGCCTGGCAGAGAAGCGACAGTCTACACAGAGGCCGATCAGAAAGAGAACCATGGTGCTGACCCCCTCCATTACTACATGAGCTCAGACATGGACAGCAGGGGGAAATCGGCTCACCAGCAAACCTACTGTTTATGTAGGTACAAGCAGACACTGTGAGCTCTTCGAACAAGGCACCATACTGAACAATGTGGGCTCATTTCATATCAAACTAACGGTAATTATGGCCTGACCTTGTTTACACTTGCCTTGCACAAATATTTAAGGACTTCAGTTTAAGGCTTTTGGCTTTCACAAGTGGAAGTCTGCAAAAGGAAATCAAAAAGAGATCGAGCAGTTCTCTTCCATGTATTTGGAGTATACTGTATATACAGTGTAAATACGTATAGTAGGCAAAATTCAAGAGCTTTTTAAAAACAATTTTCCTGCATAACGTGGAGAGATACTGCACACGCCTGTACTATACAGAGGTACAAACTGCTTTTTGTGCACTTATGAAAGACTATTTTAGTTATGTTTACACCATTGATATTATCTGGCTGCTTTGAGATTTGAAAGTATAACGGTTTGCATGACACTCAAAACATAGAGAAAACGACGTCTGGGGAACTGGTCTGGCTTTAAAGGGTTTAGTTCTCACAAAAATGACAAACGTTTGACATTTACTTGCTCTCGGTCCATCTGATACACAGGTGACTGTTTTTCAGTCGAACAATAAAGTAGATTAAGCTGAAATTGGTCAATGACGCAAGTCAACGGCTACTGGCACTTTTGAAAGTCTAAAGGAATCCATATAGAAACAACAAAATTAATACACATATTTATTTATTTAAGTAAAATGGCTCTGATTGGTCTTTGCTGTGTCTTTATAGTTATGTTTTGTGTCACAAGACCCATGTATTTTTTAGAAGCGCAGTGTATTCATTTAGTTTTGCCTGTAAATGTTTTTAGACTTTCAAAATGCCTGTAGCCTTTAATTTGCCTTTTAAAAATCATCAAGGACTCATATAGAAAAAATTAAATTTAATACACATGGCTTCTTATGATGCACTGAGGGCTTATGAAGTCAAATGATTGGTCTGTGCTGTGTATATATATATATATATATATATATATATATATATATATATATATATATATATATATATATATATATATATATATTGTAACGTTGCCCTTCACAAGACCTCAGTGTATTTTTCAGAAGCATGCTGTATTCATTTAGTTTTGCCTGTAAGTGTATTTTAAGACTTTCAAAGTGCTTGTCTGAATTGCATTTTAAGAAACACCAAGGAGCCATTTTATCCTAAAAGATTCCTTTAATGTTGCTTTGAAAAAAATCTAATCGCCTACATCTTTGATGGCCTGAGAGTGAGTGAATTAACTGCAAATATTTCATTTTTGGAGTAAACTCTCCCTTTAATTTTGACATTTTAATATCAATCAGCAACATTAATAGTGATGATACGGTACTGGCATGTAACCACTGTTGTGTTGAACTATAAAAATGTGCTAGATTCAGGTAGTATGGAGAAACTGTAATAGGGATCATATAATTCTAATACATTATTCATTCATTAAGGTTATTAAAGCTCTTTCACCTAAAGAAAGGCTATTTAAAAATGAAGGAGTTGATTGCAGCAAAATTGCACAAGATTCAGAATTGCACATGTGTTGGTTTCTTTTCTTTTTTTTTTTTTTGAGGTATTAAAAATGATATCAGATCTTACAGGGGCCTTCATTGGGAAACACTATCAGTTTGGAGATTATTAGTATTTTTTCTACTTCAGAAAGTATTATCAATTTTATTTTTTATTGATTGCTTTTTTAGCTTCAATATTAAAGCCATTCCCAGTCCCTCACTCAGACATCCCATTTCCACTGAAACACTGTAGGGTGATTTTAAGAATGTAAAGTGCTTTTAAAGAAAGCAAAGGTTTGTGGATCTTTGTCAGACTGTGACTAATGGAAGCAGAAGCAGAATCTCAGGTATGTTGAAGTTAGTTTCAGTCAACAGTCATTTTAAATAATACATTGCTGGGCAATGATGGTATACAGTTGTTCATTAACAATTGAAATGTGGTTTTCTGTTTTCTGTTTCTTTTTTTACTAGCTATTTTTTTAATTTTGTTTTTATTTTTTATTGAATCAGTAATCAGCTGTGTTCTAACACTCTAATGTCTCAAATACACTAAGTGCTGCATGTACATTTTGGAAGATGTCATTAATATGATCAATAAATAAAACAACTTTTTAAATGAGATGAGTTTGAGTGTTAATATCATGATACACGTTGAAAGGAGTAAAATCTGGTTGAACGCAACTAAATCTGTTGTAAAGCAAATAAATCGCAGAAGAACAAACAGATCTCAGAAATGAGGAAATTACTAAAATAACACACAAGTGTTTCATAAAAGGAGGAAAACTAATGTCAGTATTTAGAAGTAAACTAAAAACTACACTCACCAGCCACTTTATTAGGTCATTCCACTAGTACCAGGTTTGGACCCCCTTTTGCCCTCAGAACTACCTTAATCCCTCGTGGCATAGAATCAACAAGGTACTGGATATTCCTCAGAGATTTTAGTCCATATTGACATAGCAGCATACAGTTGCTGCAGATTTGTCAGCTGCATATCCAAATTGTGAATCAAGGCTGGATGAATGCCAAATTCAGACTGTACCGTCTGATTGTCGCAACAGAAATCGAGACCAGGCAACATTTTTCTAATCGTCAATTGTCCAATTTTGGTGAGCCTGTGCAAATTGTAGCCTCAGTTTCCTGATCTTAGATGACAGGAGTCATCTGCTGCTGTAGCCCATCCGCCTCAAGGTTCGACATTTTGTGCACTAAGAGATGCTCTTCTACATACCTCGGTTGTAACGAGTGGTTATTTGAGTTACTGTTGCCTTTCTGAACCAGTCTGGCCATTCTCCTCTGGCATCAACAAGCGATTTGTGCCCACAGAACTGCAGCTTACTGGATATTTTCTCTTTTTCGGACCATTCTCTGTAAGCCCTAAAGATAGTTGTGCATGAAAATCCCAGTAGATCAGCACTTTCTGAAATACTCAGACCAGCCCCTCTGGCACCAACAACCATGCCATGTTTAAAGTCACTTAAATCACCTTTCTTCCCCATTCTGAGGCTTGATTTGAACTGCAGCAGATCATCTTGACCATGTCTACATGCATTGAGTTGCTGCCATGTGATTGGCTGATTAGAAATTTGCGTTAACGAGCAGTTGGACAGGTGTACCTAATAAAGCGGCCGGTGAGTGTTAAGTAGTCATATTGGCGCCATCTAATGGACCAACATAACAAATTACTGTTTTGCACTGACATTCTTACACTATTATTATTATTATTATTATTATAAATTTGTATATATAATTTGTATTATAGTATACATTATTTGTAAGAATTTAATTTAGATCAAAGTTAATAAAATTGTATCAGAACTTTGTCAAAAACATTTTATCAAGTGTCCAAGAGTGAAAGACGAGATAATAATTGCTATTCAAATTAAATAAAATTGGCAAAAGAGCGTTTATACACAAGCATTGTCTTCCATTTTAAATATGTGAAAATAAAATGTCAAATTTTGGGTGATAACAAGCAAATATAATACTACATCCTATTATAGTTTAAACTTTAACTTCTTCCAGACAATTGAGTAATCATATAAATTATTCTTGTATTAATAATGAAAATGACAGCTAATTAGTGTTGTGACGCTACATTGTGATTCGTAAATATAGTCTTTAAATCTGACGTTGAATGATTCTCATTTCAAATATGCCAAGCAACATTTTAATAGCATCTGTCTGTTAGAAAAAAAAAATTCTCTTTTGATCTTCATTTTCAGATGGAAACCTAATTCTAGCTCATTTTCATCTACGTAAAATCTCTTAATGTGCAGATCCAGTGACCAAAGGTTGAGCAAAATAATCTGATACATAAAATAAGTTGTTCTTTGAACATACATCGGGTTCTGTTTCCAGTTAAATGCTCTATTCATATATGGTGAATTTCTGCAGCCAGGTTGCTTTGCTTCTTAGTCCTCTGTAGTCCTGCGGTTCACATCAATGGACAGAAGGTACTGAAACCCTCCTCCTCCCTCAGTCTTTTACTGCCCAACCCTTCTCTTTATTTCTCTGCTCTCTGTCTGCACTGCCGCAGTCAAAATATTAACACAGCACACATACTGGAGGATCATGTGGGCATATATATATATATAAAAAAAAAACACTCCAGACATGCTGTTTTTTTCCTACAGAAACCCTAGTGGCAAATCCATCATCCCGCAAATGTGTGTTTACTGTCTTCCACTTGAGAAATATGAGCTATATGTGGCGTTCAGCTAATCATCCAGCACTTAATAATGACCCAGACGTCTGCAAATACCAAATAAATACAAGCTAATGGCAAAGTTTAATTGCTGTCAAGTACTAATGATCAATTCAAGACATAAATATACTCAAGAAAATCCTGAAGCAATATTCATTTCTGAGTCAGCACATTTGTTCATTCAGGTGACTATACTTCAGGGATTTGGACTGTGATATTCCGCCTTTCCAATAATAAGATTTACTGTATGTTCTGAAGCAAAATGTAGTGCTTCAACAGTCTGATGCTGGAATTATGAGCAATGTTTGTGGATTAAAACGGCTCTCAAGCTTATAGCAATTTGTCGCAGTGTTTTGCATAGAATAATGTATTGCTTCTTAATAGAAAGCAAAATTTATGTTACCTCAGAAACATAAAAATGAACTGCATCTACACTCGCAGGCCACTTTATTAGGTACACCTGTCCAACTGCTTTTTAATGAACATTTCTTGTCAGCCAATCACATGGCTGCAATTTTCAGGTGTGTAGACATGGGCAAGACGATCTGCTGCAGTTTAAACCGAACATCAGAATGAGGAAGAAGGTGATTTAAGTGACATGGTTGTGGGTGCCAAACGAGCTGGTCCGAGTATTTCAGAAAGTGCTGATCTACTGGGATTTTCATGCACAACCATCTCTGGGGCTTAAAGAGAATGGTACGAAAAAGATCCAGTCTGTGGCAGTTCTGTGGTTGCAAATGCCTTGTTGATGCCAGAGTAGAATGACCAGACTGGTTTGATCGGACAGCAAGGCAACAGCAACTGAAAGAAAAATTTATAGAAGAGCATCTCTGAACATACAACACATCGAACCTTGAGGTGGATAGGCTACAGCAGCAGAAGACCACACTGGGTGCCACTCCTGTCAGCTAAGATCAGGAAACTGAGACTACAATTCACACAGGCTCACCAAAATTGAACAATAGAAGAATGGAAAACGTTGCCTGGTCTCAATTATGAGTCTCGATTTCTGCTGCAACATTCGGATGGTAGGGTCAGATTTTGGCGTCAACAACATGAAAGCATGGATCCATCATAACTTGCGTTAATAGTTCAGGCTGGAGGTGGTGGTATAATGGGGTGAGGGATATTTTCTTGGCACACTTTGGGCCCATTAGTACTAATTGAGCATTGTATCAACGCCACAGCCTACCTGAGTATTGTTGCTGACCATGTTCATACCTTTTGACCACAGTGTACCCATCCTCTGATGGCTACTTCCAGCAGTATAACACGCCATATCATAAAGCTTGAATCATCTCAGACTGGTTTATTGAACATGACATCGAGTTCACTGTGCTCAAATGGCCTCCACAGTCACCTGATCCCAATCCAATAGAGCACCTTTTGGATGTGGTGGAATAGGAGTTTTGCATCATGGATGTACAGCTGACTAATCTGCAACAACTATGTGATGCTATCATGTCAATAGGGACCAAAATCTCTGAGGAATATTTGTAGTACTTTATTAAATCCACAAAGCATTAAGGCATTTCTGAAGGCAAAAGGGGGTCCAATCTGGCACTAGTAAGATGTACCTAATAAAGTGGGTGGTGAGTGTATTTTATGTATTGTAGATTGGATTCATGTGCAATTCTGATGCATTAAATGCAAGCCCATCACATTAGTCCTTTTATATTACATTAAGCCCATGTTTTAAAGGGATAGTTCACCCAAAAATTTAAATATACTCACCCTTAAGTGGTTTTCAAACTTTTATGAGTATATATATATATAGAGAGAGAGAGAGAGAGAGAGAGAGAGAGAGAGAGAGAGAGAGAGAGAGAGAGTATTTTAGAAAAAGAGTTCCACATTCACTAGCTACAGGTTTCCAGCTTTCTGTAAAATATATTGTGCTCAACAGATTTCAGAAATGTTCAGTTTTGGGTCAACTATCCCTTTAAATGCAGCTTTAAACCTTAAAGACATATTTCCCAATTGTAAACTATGTTAGTGCAGCTTTTTAACTGAAGTTTTGACACTTTGACACCTGGCTTTCACACTTGAAACTCTTATCCATTGTAAACGAAATGAAATCCAAGGTTAACATCCTTATTTGTATATTTGCTGTGTCACTATTTCAAATGATAATTCTTGATATAAGGAACTGTATTTCTATGAATAACAATGGCAATTTCAACTAGTGAAGTATTGCAGCTTATTTTCGATAATGACACAATTTCTCACAGATATTGAACTCTTGATATCAGGACTTCTTGAAAGCACAGTAATTCTTGGATTGCTGTTAATCACAGCATCAGTTGGTTAAATTATGGCTATTGTGAGACTTGTAGCGAGACAGGCCATGGTTCTGTTTAAAATGACCCAACTACATCTACAAGTGCCAATAGTTTCCAAACTTGCAGTAGTTTTCACCCAAAAATCACCCAATCATTTACTCTCCCTTGTGGTTTTAATCCATTATGTGCTTCTTTCTTCTGTTGAACACTGAAAACCTGAAACCTTTGACTTCCATAGTAGAGAAGAAAATATAGTCATTTAAATGGGTGTCAGCGACCAGCATTCTTCAAAATATCTTATTTTGTGCTCAACAGAAGAAATAGGTTTAGAATAAATGATGACAGAATGTTCATTTTTGGGTGAGCTATCCCTTTAAGTATGTCAGTAATATAATGCTTCTATTTTTATCAGGAAGCATTCTTGCAGTAAAGTGTGTTGAACGTGTCTTTCCATGCTGAAGATGAAGGAATATGAGAGGCTCTTATGCCAGAGGAGTTACGGTAAGTGTTCCTCTAGAGTGTTGAAAAGACAGAGGGATGCAGTGAATGAGAGAGAAAGAGAGAGAGATGCTGCAGACCCACTTCTGCCCTTGTTTTGTCTCCTCCGCTTATAGAAGCACTTAGTGCATTTCC